AGAGGCATTAAGGTCCACAATTGCAACGTAAGGACCAGAAAGTAGTCTATCATACATGTCCCTTCTCTAGCTGTAAATTCTTGGTCACTCTAACCAAACCTGTTCTCCAACTTTATTTACATGTCTCCCGCAGTGTCCCCAACTGCCTGCCTTTTCCCCAGTCCCCAGGATATAAATAGTCTTTCAAGTCAAAAGAGGCCCCTCCTACAATCTGAAGGGCCATGGACAAGATTGTGATTATGAATATGCAAATACCCTATACTTAATATGCAAGTATTCCAAAGAGAACATACAGAACCCAGTATCGTTTCAAAACTTGCATAAGCATCACATGAAAAAAAATATTTTGCAACTATATGCAGTGATAAATAAAGGTTAACTAGACTTATTGTGGTAATCATTTCCCAATACAAACAAATATCAAATAATCATGTCATTCACCTGAATACAACAGCAAATTATAACAGACCAGACATATTAGAATTTTACTTTTAATTAAAACTATTAGCCCTGGCTGGTGTAGCTCAGTGGATTGAGCATGCTCTGTGAACCAAAGGATCATGGTTCGATTCCAAGTCAGGGCACATGCCTGGGTTGCGGGCCAGTTCCCAGCAGGGGACTCATAAGAGGCAACCATACATATTTCTCTCCCTCTCTCCTTCCCTTACCCTCTAAAGGTAAATAAATAAAATCTTTTAAAAAATAATAATAAATATATTGTGTTTTAACTAATAATAAATATATTCTATTTTTTACAAAAACTATGAAATGAGCCCTTTTTAAGAACCAGAGCTGCACTGGAATGCAGTCATGCCCTAGGGCCTGCAGACCTGCCTGTATGAGTAAGTTTTAGAAAGCGTATTCTGCTTAAGATAAAAAAAGAATGCAGCCCGTTGATCTCCAAACAGGTCTGTTTTTTCCTTTCCGCTCTTAAGACAAGGTCACTAACTCACAATCCCAAGATGTCTACAGATCTGTCAGTTGGAAACCACCCAGCCACAGTCGCACAGATGTGGCCAGGAGCTGAGCAAACCAGATCGCTGAAGCTTGAGTAAGAGAGAACTGACCCTGGTGCAGCCATCACTCAGGACCACTCGTGACTTTTGCTCTATAAACCCTATTGTCTGTAAACCTTTGACGAGTTCAGGTTTTTCAGTATTTGCTTCCCATTCTCCCAGGTGAAGACATTCAATAAAATAGCTAATATTTCCCTACTGCCAAGCCTGGTGTCAGTTCTCATTGACTCACTGCTCACACTGGTGGCTACAGACTTTCTTTTGACTCACTCCATTTCACATTTTAAACTAATGTAATGTTACATGTCAATTACACCTCAATTTTCAAAAAGTCAAAATAAGAAGGCATACCTTTTAACCCAGAAATTTTATTTCTGAGACACTATCTTAAGGAACTAACTTCTAAAATGCAGAAAAGAGCCCTGGCTAGTGTGGCTCAGTGGATTGAATGTCGGCCTGTGAACCAAAGGGTCGCTGGTTCGATTCCCAGTCACAGCACATGCCTGGGCTGTGGGCCAGGTCCCCAGTTGGGGGTGTGCAAGAGGCAACCACACATTAATGTTTCTTTCCCTCTCTTTCTCCCTCCCTTCCAATCTCTCTAAAAATAAATAAATAAAATATTTAAAAAATAAAATACAGAAAAGAACTTATAAACAAAGATATTCATCACAATGTTATTATTACCAATAATATAGTGACAATGAGGAATGATTATAAAATTATGGTATATCAACCTACTGGAAAATAATGTAGGCATCTTAAATGTTTGCCATCCAATTATAATTAAGTGAAAATTAATGTTACAAAATTTAAAGTAAAAATATATAAAAATATACATAGTCTAATTAAAACTATGCAGGGAAAAAAAGTGGAAGAAAACACATCAAAACATGAATAGTGGTTGTCTTTAGTTAGTCAGATTATGGTGATTTTTTTCCTTCTTATAATTTCCAAATTGTCGATAACTCTATAATGGAGGCAGAAAGCTTTTTAAAAAGCAAACTTCCATGGGAGGGGTAAAGTTTTACGTGCATTAAAAAACTGTTCTTGATTTAGTTGAAAACTACTACTTTTAATAACAGTACCCAGGAAATATACCATTTTCTGGAAGGACACTTGGAGCAAGGAATATGGAGAATGTGAGCACCACCAGCCAAAGAAAAACTCAGCCTGCTTAAAAACATACACCAGTTCACTACGATTGCCAGCTAAGGAGCAGATCTCACTGCCTCATATTCAAGGCTCTTCATAATTTGGCATGGTGTGTCCAAACACTATACGTGCACTTCTCAGCTGAACCTCTTCCGGCTTTCTCTTTGGCTATCGAAATCCATCCCATTTCTCCGTTCTTTAGTTAACTTCCACCATGAAGACTTTCCTGAACCTCTGATGATCCCAGCCTCTACTCTTTATCCTTCTTCTTAAGGTGTTGATATAGTACTTAAGTTTGCTGACCACCTTTTTCCAGTATTAAGGCAGTTCTCATCATTTTGTTAATTACTCATGTGTAAGTAAATATCTTCCCAGCTAGACTTTAAGTTCCTTGAAATCAAGAATTTAGATGGTCCCTGAATGGGTGGCTCAGTTGGTTGGGTGTCATTCTACAAAGCAAGGGGTTACCAGTTCAATTCCTGGTCAGGGCACACACCTGGGTTGAGGATAAGTCCCTAGCTGGGGTGTGTGCAAGAGGTAGCTGCTCAATATTACTCTCACAGCATAATATTTCTCCCTCCTTTACCCCACCTCAAAAAATAAATACATAAAATCTTTTAAAAAATAATTTAACTGGTCCACAGGCAGTAGTCATTTGATAAATAAATATATACAGAGAAAGAGAGAGAACAGTTCTAAAGTCAATTTGGTATTAAATTCACACTCTCAGTAATGATATCTAAATAAAAGGTGTTACTTCTGTTTTAGAATATCCTGCTGACCTTCTATCACTGGGACATGCACTTTCCTTTAAAAAAAATAGCAGCAGTATTATATTTTTGCTTATTCATTCATTTTGCTGTCCTTCTTGGGATTAACCAGATTGGACTACACACTATTTTATACCAAGGTTTGGTATATATATAGTCTATAGCCATATAAAGAACAAAAAGTAACGACCTCCTGGAAATCAAACTTAAGACTTATCACAAGACCCTACTCTTACAGTCGTATCTGGACAAAGAATGTAAATTTGTACCTCCCTCTGATGGCCTTATGGAGGCAGTGGGCTTTAGTCTATCAATATCTCCACTGATTAAAAGAAAGAAATCTCCAATGCAAAAGGTTCAATGCTGTTGAAAAACTATGAGCTAAGATGATTATGTTCCGGTGTGCCATCAAATGCTTTTCCAACACTTAGAGATAATGAGCACTTAAACTATAGCAACCTGCCTCCTGAGACAGCAACAAGAGTCGCTTACGTTAAGAGAAAATATACAAAGCATAAATGAAAGAAAATCAAATGACCAAGCAAGCGACGAGAAGAACCTAGCCCCCATTATTTTTCCAGAAGGAGCACAAAAAATCAATATAACTGTTGACTCTGAGCACAAGGGAAAAAAATCAACTCCATTTCCTTATATACAGAACTGCATTTTGCTACAGCACCTGGTTTTTTTAAGAGTCGATGGTTGTCCAGATTAGCTGTATGATCTTGGACCTTCTCTGGATTTCAGTTCCTTAGTCTGTAAAATAGAATTGTCATCTCCTCTGCCAAATCACAGAATTATAATGAATCAAATAACATTATCAGTCTGGGTTTACCTGTCACCTTATAATGGGGTAACATTCCACAAAAACAATTCAGTCACACACCCTATGAAGTAAATAACTGTTCTTACTGCAAATGTTTTCCTAAAGGTTAAAAAAGAAAATGATATCCAGATTTTACGTTCTTCAATGACTTGTCCTACACTTGAGCATCGACCATGTATCTGCCAAAAATGTTGACCATCTCCTGTTATGACCTGGCTCTCCCGTGCAGTGCTGTCCAGATACTATCTTCTGGAATATGCTTTCTAAGAAAGTGTGGGTTTTTCCCCACGTAATTCAGAGTATGCTCTACTTTTACGAAAAGAACAATAATGCCACATATAGGAAGTTTACAGGTTGTTGTTGCTGTTGAGACTCCTCCTATGAAAATTAACTGTTTAAATAGACCATACAACATATGTACACTTGGATAAACAAATTCTAACACTGTGAAAGGTCCAAGGGCTTTACAATCCTAAAGATTTGTATTCAAATTCCCATTCTGTGACCTTGAGCACATAATTTAACTCTCCTGCTCCAAACTTTCTACATTTGGTCCTGGGTTATTGTGATGATTCAGTAAAATTTTAAATACATATGTGCCTAGGCTGTGAAATTACTTCCTACCTTAAATCTTTCCACATCTGCCAGGAACCCATCAAACCCACGTTGAATACAAGACAACTTAGAGCATCTTTCTCACACATTAGCAGGAGGCTGCCATGCGATGTAAACTTAGGCGGATGACGGCACGAATTAGACATCTGACAGGGCAAGAAGTAGAGGAACAGGCATCCACAATGGACCTAGACTTCATTCGCACGTGTGAAAGACATGAATCTGACATACTTTGAAGACTGCACCGCAAACGCACAGAGGTTTGTACCAGGATGTGGGAAAAGGATGGAATTTCAGAACGAGCCAGCAGGGAGCCTCCGGGTTCAGACCGCCCGACCCCACCCGCCTGGGTCGTTCAACCGAAGCCTGGAAACTAAGGGGAGAGGCAACCGTACATACTGCGCGCAGCAACTGACCCCGTCCCCCGCGGTCCCTCATCACGCCCAAACCTCTAGGGCACGAAGGGTGCTGAATCATTAGCACCAACAGCGGCAACTCCCTGATCTGCTGCTCGGCGAGGGGCAGTGTCCCCGAGCAGTGACCCTTCCGGACGGGGGCCGACACCTCCAGGGCACGGGGACGTGACAGCGGTCGGGGAGGCTCAGGGCGGCGGGTACTCACCCGGGTGAGGGCAGCCCAGCCCCGGTCCTCGCCTCCCCGCAGCAGGCGGTCCCTCTGCGGCCCCCGGGTTTCCCGCCGGCGGCCGCCCTGGGCTGCAGCGAGAGCTGGCGGTCCGGTGCTTCCCTCCGCCCGCCCACCGCCCGCGGGAGCCGCGACTCGTGGCTGCGGCGCCGACCCGGAGCAGCTGGAGCAGCTTTTGCTGCCGAAGCGGGTGGCGGCTGCCGACGGGCCAGACCATTCGCGGGCTGCAGCCGGGGGTGCGCGACGTGCGCGCGGAACCCGCGCCCAGGGCGAGTCGGGTGGCGACAGCTGGGAGCCACCGAGGACCAGGGGAAGCCTAGGCGACCGCAGCCCCGGCACGGCTCGGGCGCGGGGCGACCCACGGTGGAGCAGCTGCTTTCCAAGCTGCTTGCCGAAGACAGTCCTTCGGCCTTTCCGGGCACCCCCCTCCCGGTTCGCCTTGGTCCCGCTCCGGGCTCCACCGAACGCCGCAAACAGAGGACCTAGCAACGGGAGCGCCGGGGCGGTGTCCCCTGGGCGGTGTCGCCTCCGGAGGAGAGGGGACGGCGCGCGGGCCCGAGCCAGCCCTCCGGCCACCCCCAGCTCCTCCGCGGGGCCCTAGGGCTCCAGTCCTCGTGCGCTCTTACCGCAGAACCGAGCGGGGCATCTGGGGTCTTTGAGGGGGCTTCCCAGGTCTTTTATCCGAGCATCTCTGTGGAGCAAAGAATAAAGGGGTATCCCAGGCCGCTCGAAAGTTAGAAAATAAAATCAAGCGGGGCTCCATCCTTTGTAAATAAGATACCGGAAAATGAGGGACACTTTTGAATCCCAGAGTTACTGCTCCAAAAACGTGGAAGCCCAGTAGTTTGGAAAATGTAGATTTAGAAAACCATTTTAGCATACAAATCTATAAAGATTAAAGAAATTTTAAAATATTTGGGGTTCATTGTTCACCATTTTAGAATTAGTGCCTTGGGATTTGGGACGGAATCGTGTCCTTACATGAAATGAACTTTACAGAACTGGAGGGAAGTCCCCACTCCTGTGTGGTCTCTGCCCCAGGCTATAAGGATCCATTTCACACCAAGATAGAGATGGAGACAAAGGTATAGTTTCATTATAGAATAGATAGGAGGGAAGGAGAGAGAGCAAAGTTGACACTACCTATAAAATATAATTTAGGGGAGCGAAAGAAAGACCCTCTAAATTCCTCCCCAACAATAGGAAATTTTAATTTAAAAGCCATTTTCTCTAGATAAAGAGAATCTATCCTCTTGAGAGTAAATTAACAAAATTTTAACATAAACCAAGCACCTAGTATAAACCAAACACTGCACTGAGAGTATTACCAGTTTGATTGCTTTATCTATTATTCTAAAAACTCCTGTGAAATTGGTAACATTGTTCATATTTTTTATAGAGAGAAACTAGGCAGAGAGTTTACTGTGGTGGGTTTACATCTCAGATTATGAGTGGCAGAGCAGGCGCCGCAACCTGGAACTTTTCATTAATGCCTTTCCACCTGAAGACCTCTGGGAAATGTACACAAAGCCTTAGCATGTCCATGACTGGTGCTGGAAAGTGTATTTTTCCTCTGTGAAAACTAGGTTTCATGGTGCAGAAAGGGACCCTTAATTATCTAAGGTGGACATCACAGGTTAGAAATAGGGACCAGTAGGGAGAGACTGGACTGGCCTAGAAACGTCAAGGTCAACTATGCAGTGGTAGGGTCATGTGAGGGTGAGGAGGAATTCCCCACTACATTGTGTTAATCATGTTCTCTATCATTTACTATATTGCACTTGATGCTTAATCTATTATTACTCTATTATATATTTACTCTTTATTATTATTACTCTATTATATATTACACTATTATTCTTCCAACCCCAAAGTTTTTAAACGGACCTAATCTCATATGTCTTATCAGAATTTAGAGAAGTAACAGGGCCTTAACAACTCTCACATCACATAAAGGAACTTGTAGAAAAATAAGAAATAAAGTTAAATTGTTACCCTATGTTGCACCATTTTTATTATGTTAAATTTTTTTTTAAATAAATGTTCACACTTTAGGATCAGCGCAACAGAAATCCCCAGAGCCCCCTCCATGGAACTGAGGAGCCACCGGGACACTAAATTCCCCGGGGAAGTCAGGCAGCTGTAACTGAGGGCTAGGATGACATTTCTGAGGCTGACATCAGCCTCAGAAATGTACGATTCCTGCCCTGGCCTGTGTGGCTCAGTTGGTTCGGTGTCACCCTTCAAACCAAGGGGACGTGGGTTCCATTCTTGGTCAGGGCCCATGTATGGGTTGCAGGATCCATCCCTGGTCTAAATGCCTATGGGAGGCAGTCAGTGGGTGTGTCTCTCTCACACTGATGTTTCTCTTCCTCTCTTCCTCCCTCCCTCCCTTTCTCTCTAGAATCAATAAAAGAAAAAAAATAAGGAAAGAAAAGAAATGTGCGATTCCCCTCCCCCCCACAGTTGTTTCATTTCAAAGGAGACAACAAAGGAACTAAACTGGATTAGGTAGACACGTGCCTTTTGAATTAGTATTCCCTGTCTGGTTGACAAGAATGTAAGAAAAAAGGATAAAGTCTTTGGTGATTCAGAGAGACTAAGCTGGAATTTAGAACCTTATCAGTTACAAACCTGGTGCCATCTCCAACCATCCACTTGTATAAGTTGAAATTACTAAAGCGTATGTTTCTGAACGAAGGACAGGAATTTTGTTCCAGTAGCCTTGAAAAACTGTCAAAACCAAAAAAGGAATAGTGTGGTGCCTGCATTCCCTGATCTCCCATGGAGTCTTCCAATGGTTTTGAGCTCCTTGAGGAAGGAAATTAGGGCCAGAAACTGAGGAATTGTTTTTACAAATGATTTTGTGGGATTTAGGGTCTAAGAAGTACTAGTTGGGGCCCTAGTAGTAAACACCGTCAGTACATCTGACAATGTTCAGCACAGAGGGCCATTCTGTCACGCAGTCTGCCATAGATTCCTGTGCGGCCTCGTCACCAACACAGAAAGGCTCTGCCCAGTGAAGGTGTATTCTCATAAAGAACACTGGTGACCCATACAGGGTCAAGATAACTTGGCTGGGAAGGAGCAAACAGCAACGGAGCATGTGTGGGATGCTTCCTGAGCATGCAGGAGATGCAGCTGAAGATTTGCTGTCATAACAAAGGAGCCTGGGGCAGAGGGGATGATGGTTAAATTGAAGATGATTGTTAAGCATCATTTAAGTAGTGATATTAAGAGTCTAATGAGGACAGCATCAAATGTATGTATTAATTTTTGGAAATTTGACATATTTACAATAGTAAGTCATCTCATCCAAGACGGCAATAGACTTTTCCCTTTGTTTTGTACTTTGTCTTATATTTCCCAAGGATATTTTAATAGTTTTGTTCATGTATGTTCTGCGCCTTCCTTATAAATTCACACCAAGTTATTTTGTAGTATGCGTCTTCCTCACAAAATAGTCTTTCCACTTCTTTTTTTGGGTGCTTTTGCCTGAATAGAGAGAGATTGGTTATTTCTGTAGTTTATTTTGTACTCACACAACACACCAAATTCTCTCATTATTTGTTTTATCACAGGAGTCTCTTAAATTTTCTTAAACACAAACACACACACAGGCATATCCCCAGCATCAGAACTTCTTTCACTTTTTTCATTATTTATACTAGTGATTGTATTTACATATGGTGAAATCACCAACACACGGGATTATGGTGATACCTGTCTGATCCCTGGAGTTTTAGTGAAAGATTTGGTTTTTGCCATTTGAAAGAATGTTTGTTAGTAGGTTTTTCTTTGTTTTCAAAGTAATCTCCTGCAGTTTCTATTTTGCATGGAGCTTTCCTTAGCATTGGTTGCTTGACCTCTGTTGTCTTTTTACAACCCACTGATAATGGCTGGGTTATTTTCTCTTTAATTTTTAATGTAATCAATATGTAGATAGATTTTCTGCACTGATCCACCCTTTCCTTTCTATAATACAACCTGTTTTGTCATAGTATATTGGTCTTTCGATGCATTTCTCCCCTATGTCCTCTAATGTATTATATGAATATTTGGCATTTATAATCATAGGTGAAACTGGTCTGCACTTTTGTTTTGAATTCCTTCTTTGGCTTTGGTATTTGAGATATTCTGGCTTTATGAAGTTAACTCGAGAGCTTTCATTCTTTTTCTAAGGCCCACAAATGTTTAAATGATACTGGAATTATCTATTGTTTAATGGTTTGATTAAAAATTCAACTGTGAATCCATCTGTCTGCTGTCTTTTTCAATAGGAAATCATTTATCACTTCTCCAATCTCTTCTACAACAATTGGACGATTCAAGTTTTTACTAATTCTGAGCCATTTGTGATAATGTATATTTTGCTAAGAAAGTATTTAATTCTTCTGTTTTATTAGTTTAATATATCAACAGTGTTGCCTTTAGTCTTTTACTTAGAATTGTTGTAATCTCTTTCCTCCTTTCACATTGTTAATCTTGCCTAATTCTAATTTCAGTTTCTTTTCTTAATCAGAACGACATCATACTTATCTATATTTATTGGTCTTTTTAAAGAATCAGTCTTTGAATTTATTTTCTGCTATTTTATCTATCTTAATAATTTCAGCCTTTATCAATATTAATTCCCTCTTCCAAACTTCTTTTGTTTTTGTTGTTATTGTTCCTACTGGATCAATCAAGTACTTAATTCCTTTATTTTCACTTTTCTGCTTTCATAATTAAGGGCAACACATTTTCCTGTGAGTTGTTTTGCTGTTCCCCATTGTTTCGGTATAAAGTGTTTGTTTTTCCAATGCTGCTAGCAGTTTCCATATCTTCCCTTGCTGTGGTTGAAAGGCCTGTGTTTCACCCCACCCACATTCGTGTGTGGAGATCCTAGACTCCAGAGATGATGCTATTAGGATGTGGAGCCTTTGGGAGGCATGTAGGTTGTGAGGTAAAACCCTCAGGACTAGGATTAGTGACTTTATAAATAAGGCTCCAGGAAGGTCCCTGCCTCCTTCTGCCAGGCAAGGGCACAATGAGAAGGTGACTGATAGGAAGAGGACCCTTACCACTGGGATCTTGGACTTCCAGCCTCCAGAACCACGAGAAATAAATTTCTGTTGTTTCTGTGATATTTTGTTATGACAG